ACTGATGTACAGTTTCAGGCAAAAGAGGAAAAACGCCGACTAAACGAGACACCGCACAATGGCCCAGCAGGAAAGCAGGCGGCGGATCCAGGTCTCCTGCATGATGCAGTGACCAAGCGAATCACAAAGTATGGTTGTGAATCACAATGTTGTTCCATCATTTTCAAGTATGACTCAAAAGCACGGGATTGGAAGTGCTCACAATGCACTGACCAGCAATGCAGACGTACCGATCTCAAGAGGACGAAACAGAAAGGCTCCATTGCGTACAAGAATATCGACCTGTTCCCAGTGAATAGCCCCCCCCTTTTTTTCAAAAAAGTTTATGACCATTTCTTCCATAGGTTGTAGCACACCTCGGCCATCAGATAAACACAAAGACTTTCTCGTCAGCAGTTCTAAGGGAGCACCTGCAACCGAAAGTCAATCGGACTTTATGTGACTCGTGGTTAGGGAGGTTCAAGCAGGACTATGTAGCATGGATAGTAGGTGCACCACCTGAGGAGATGCTGCACTTACTACCCTGCCTTGTGGCGGCGTTCAAGCAATTGGGTTGGCATTGCGAACTTGTAATTAAAACGCCAGAGGAATTCAAAAGTGAGTATATAAAGATATGTAAATCGTCTTGGGCTGAAAGACAAAAATATGCGCGGAAACAAGCCGAAGGTGGAGGGAAGCCAGTCGACGGTTTCATAGCAAAGGCTTTCAACGAAACAGAGATGATTCAGCTCGACCCAGAGAGCAAGATTGTTTGGGGCTGGACTCTCGCTCCACCCGGAATTTCCGAGACTTATGATCAACATTTGTTCAAGGTCACCGCTAGTGATTTTGCCCATTGTCACAGAGTGGCAGGTTGCCAACACCCTGGCGTTTTAGGGACGAGAATCGCAGCGGATCAAAACAATTGCATAGTGGATATATGTCATGCGAGGTGTCTATCAAATGAGAGTAAGGACACATGGGTCCTTTTGAACAATGGTACCAAAATGGCCATACCGGGCTACGAAAGCTTCGTTGACAAGTTCGACGTGCCGACAGTCGACATATCTGATGCCTCCAAGGGAGGAGACGCGGCCCACGGATACCAATTGGGTGGTGTCACTCATTTTCTTGATTTCAAGCACAGGTCAGAGGCCCTTGGAAGAGGGCCACATGGCGCTAAATGTGCGAAACTGTACGCCAAAGCATATCACGCAACAACGACATCTGATTTGGAACATGCGATAGACGCCATCAATGATGATGCGCAAGCAAAGCAGCGGATTTTTGGACAGGGATGGTCTGCAGAAAACCAATTCCCTTTAAGGGCAGAGCTAGGTCGTTTGAAGACATCGTCATGTGTGGAAAGTGCAAACCATAGGGATATGCCGTTTCGTTCATGCCATTTTGCATACAGCCTATTCCAGGCGGCACGATCAATCCAGGAGCACCACGAGCGCAGGAGCAAAGAAGCGCATGACTGGCAGCAGCATTTCCCCCCGAAAGTAGCAGCGCTAGTCAGGGAGGAGGAAACGGCAGCAGCACACATACAAGAGAGGCATGTGACACTCACGTATGCGAATGGTAAAGTGGTGGGTGCGACAGTGAAAGACGCAACTTTCGGTGATGCCCATGTGGTCTTCGATCGTTTGAAACACAGGAATCCAGGCATGGCCTGCGACTGCTCGTTTGGAACAGAAAAAGGAGTCCCATGTAGGCATGCTTATGTCGCGACCAAAAAAAATGGGCAATATCTCTATAATTTGACAGATAGAAAGTACACAACGCGGGCATGGAAAGACGTGTACTGTACGGAAGAGGCAGACGGAACCCTTGTCGTCGAATCTCTACGTGTTCCGAACATGCATGATGTGAAACGCCATATAGACTTGAAAGATACCAAACTCTGCATGCCCCCCGCCTACAGGCCCCGTGCCGGGCGCCCAAGCGTCAAAAGAAAAGAGAGGACGAAGAAGGCCCAGGGAAACGGAAAGGAAAAAAAGGGGCATTATTGCCATTGCTGCTTCAGATTCGTCACTGACCACACTAAAAGGAATTGTCCTGAGAGGGATGCTTTGGAACTGGTGGATAATTTGGAGCCGATGTTGGCAGAAAAAAGCGACAAGGCCCC